AGGTCGTAGGTCTCATCGTGATCTACGTTGATGACATCTTAGTGGCGGCAGACGAGGGAGAGCGAGAGGAGTTGTTCGCTTCTCTCAACAAGAAGGTTCCGGTGAAAGATCTGGGGGAGTGTACCTGGTACGCCGGGTGTGCTATCGCCATGGATGTAGAAAATGGCATCACCAAGCTGTCCACAGCGTGACCGGTTCAATCTGTCCTGCCTTGGTCTTGTCTTGGAAGTGCTGCCGTTGGAATCCTCCGTGATAGCGACGGTTTTCTTTAGGGTGTTAGACGAGGGTTTTTGATCCGGTTGGCCGGGTTTTCCCTCGAGCCTGTTGTTGTCCCTTCGGTAGATCAGGGGTATCCATGCCCCACGTTAGGTTTGCCATTCGCGTGCAAACCGGGGAGGGTGTTCGTGTGTTTGGATACGGCCTGGTGAGATCTACCGGCAACAACAGAGGGCGCGCAGATGGGGCATATGTACACCTTGAAATGGTCGCATGTGCGGGGACCCCTCGAACTCCAAAGAGGGCTTCACTTCTCCCTACTCCCCTTGCGTGTCAAATACAAGAGATAAAACGTCTTCCCCTTCCAAGTAAAGGACATATACGAACAGCTTCAAGCCATAAAGACTACGGGCAAGTCTCACAATCTTACCCGAAAGGGACCCACAACCCTGCGGCAGACGCACGTACACGATCTCATCTAACTTCGATTGCACGAACGCTTGATCAGCATCAAAGTGGCACATGTCCCAACCCATTTCACACGCGATAGCAGACAAGCGGCAAATACTCGGATGGGTAGGGCACGTGGAAAAAGTCTCAAAAATAGTCAATACCTTCACGCTGACCGTCACCCATAGCGACAAGCCGAGCCTTTGCACGCAACACATCACCGAATTCATCAGGTTTCCACGTTTAGACCCATTTGGCAGAGATGACTTTCGTTCCTCGTTACTAGAGCCCTCCTGCCGGCTCGAACGTGCCCGCCCCAACCAGACCATCCAAAGCTGCAGGTGTGACCCTGTGGGAGGCACGGGAGGGGTGGGCGGGGGGGGAACAGACAAGGGTAAACACTCCACCCGCTCGCGCGCCCTATACCCCCCCCTCAAACTGCTGCCGTTGCAGTTGGCGCTGCTCCCTCCGTCGCTGCTGCGGAAGCCGCCGCCGCCGTCGCCACCGCTGCTGCTGCTCCGGCCGCTACTACCGTCACAGCCGTCGCCGTTACCACCGCCCCCGGAGCTCTGGCCGAGGCCACCACTCATGTCGCGGCGCGTCCTGCTGTCGCCGCTCCTGATCATGGTGTTGTCGGCGAAGGGGCTCGGCCAAAGCCGTCCGCGCCGCCGCCGCTCCCGATGATGGTGCTGTCGGCGACGGGGCTCTGACCACGGCGTCCGTGCCGNGCCGCGCCATCTCCGCCGCCGCCGCCGCTGCTGCTGCTGCGGCCACCGCTGCTCCGGTCCTCCTCACCACCGCTGTTGTGATTTCCCTCCTCACGCACCTCCTGCGCAAATAATCCTCCCCGGNTCCCCTGGTCGCTCTCCTCCACCGGGACCGTTTCCCTCTGTCAAAGGGATGCGTTGACGCTCCATGCCAGGCCGCGCCATCTCCGCCGCCGCCGCCGCTGCTGCTGCTGCGGCCACCGCTGCTCCGGTCCTCCTCACCACCGCTGTTGTGATTTCCCTCCTCACGCACCTCCTGCGCAAATAATCCTCCCCGGTCAAAAGGGTACGACGCGCCCCTCTCGAAACCGTAGATGCCGTCGTCTCCACCGCTGCTGCAGGTCAGGCCGCCTCTGTCGGCGCACGTATCTTGACTGCCCGGCGCCAACGCGGCAACCGGGGACGCCGCTGCTGCTGCTGTCCCCACCGGCGCCGTTTCCGTCGCAGCCACTGCCGTTGTCGCTCCATGCGGCATTACTCCTGCCGCCGCAGCTCTGGCCGAAGCCGCCGTTGCGACCGCCGGTGCGGATTCCGTTCCACAAATCCCAACCGTTGAAGATGGGGCAGCAGGACGGATCTCATCGGCATGGATTGCTGTGGGTGATGGCACAAGTGAGGCTGCTAGCTGCTGCTGCTGCTGCTGCTGCTGCGACGGTGACTGCTTGGGTTGTTGCGATGCCGCGGATGGCGAAACGACAACAACGCGGTATGGTCCGGGAATCTGCCGCATTGCTACACTTCTACTGTACCCGGCCTCCATGAGATCCAGTTCTGCGCGTTTTCGCGCAACTGCAGGTGCGACACGTGATGTCCTGGCTCGCGGGGGAGAATGAGTGGCAGGGTATGTAACTGCGGTGAGAGAAGCTACGTTGGCGGTGTTCGTGGGTCTGCGAACATTGTTGTTGGATACATGTGCGGGATGATTTTGTATCACGCAGACTGGTAAAATAACCGTTTGATAGGGGGCACCGCGATGATTCCCGGGGGCCCTCCTTGCTGTGGGAGCCGCTCTTTGAGCACTCCCTCTTTCGTCCGTGTGAAGGACGGTCGTCGACCTCTCGTGAAGTTAATACATCACCNGGGCCAGCAGATCGGGAGCGAACCCTGTTGGACCAGCCGGAGTGGGCCCGGGCATAGGACCGGACTACGGGGAAGCGAGGGGGTCAAACCCCTCAGGTGAGATACCCGTGATTCGAGGAAATGGAGAATGCCTCGACGGCTACAGCAGTACCAGCAGCAAACGAGAGATAGTGGGCAAGGACCACGGCCGCTGCTGGAAGGCTGATGGGTCAGCAGATCGGGAGCGAACCCTGTTGGACCAGCCGGAGTGGGCCCGGGCATAGGACCGGACTACGGGGAAGCGAGGGGGTTAAACCCCCCAGGTGAGATACCCGTGATTCGAGGAAATGGAGAATGCCTCGACGGCTACAGCAGTGGCCACCAGAAAAGAGTTACGGTCAATGCTCCACTCCTAGACGTAAAAAGCCGTAGCCACGGATTTGACTCGTGGCGAAAATCATTCATCCAAGCTGCGAAGACCATCGACTTGGACAAGCTGTTAATAGGAGATACAGAGAGCAGTATCCCCGTGGGCGACCCAAACTTGCCGACTTCCGAACTGCTCCGTAGGGGGTACACGAGAGCAGAAGTCCAACGGGGGCTTCAGGCGTTCCACTTTATCACTACTGCTGTGGTAAAAGAAGCTGACAAAGCAATTATCAGCAACTGTACGTCAGCGAAAGAGGTCCTTGCGGAATTGGAAAAGGTCTACGATCCGGAGTCACAGGGGTCAAAACAGGCCTTGATGCGGAAGATGTTCGACTTTGCAATCCCCACACACAGCAACAGCAACCCCATCGAGCACCTCTACTCTCTCGAGCTGCTGTATGCCCGCCTGCGGGAAGAGGGGCTCAATGCTGAACAACCCTTCGTTCTCGCCCACTTCGTTGGTTCCCTCCCACCCGAGTACCAACAAGCGAAGTTCCTGTTGGAGACAGCAACGGCGCTGGATAGGGCC